TGGAAGTGTCTAGATCAAAATCAAAGCCTGTGGGTAAAAAAATGAGGACTATATTATACAGGACACTGGACATTTTATTGACTTGAACACTCTGATAATAGCCACTGAGGTAAATGCACCGCAAAAAAGAAATAGAGAATAGGGAAAAGAAAGCAATGAGAAGGAATTCTGCTTTGTATGCAGGTAGGAAGAACATAACATCAATGATAAATTTGATCGCACAGCTCTGAGAAAAGCATTTTACCCCATAAGAAGATGATGCATAGATTTCCTTGAAGGAAATATGAACTAATTCTAAACAAAATTTAGGGTGAGATTTTCAAAGCTACCTAGAAAAGACATCTAATTCTCAACAAAATATGTGGTTTTTAAACATATGGAACATGTTTAAACACTTTTTTACAAATTCTGTCTTAAAGGAAATCAAATTGATTTTTCAAACAGCCATTACTGGTGCATTATAATCTCGCTCACTCCATAGCCCAATGAATTTTAAAAGCACTTTTGGCTCCCATTCAAAGTCAGAAAGCTTAAAAAATATGGATATCCAACTTGAAACATCTTAATAGAGGAGAGATTTTAAGAGTAAAAGGATCTGGCCTACCTGAAAAATCAGGCTTTCTTAACTCAGCTGAAAATCAATCATAAAACAAAATAAAACAAAACAAAACAAAACAAAATAAAATAAAATAATCAAAGTGAAAATTAAGCTGTGAAAATGTTGACCTTGGAGAAGCAGACATGACAGCCAAACACTGTACTGGATGTGCAAGGACCATGTAGCTAGCACTTACTTGACCAAGAGTTCATCTGAAACCTAGGTCATTACCATGAACCCTTCACATTCAAACTCAGAAAGGAATTTCTTTTCTTACTGGAAGGAAAACAAAGCTTCTAGAGTCTCTGTTGATCAGATATCCTAGAAAAGTATATTTTTCAAAACATAATTTCCACTGGTTTACCACCATGTGATCACTTAGTTGGTCTTATTTATAAATAAAGAAGCACGACAGCACAGAAAGTTATATTTCATGTTCTCACCCATTATTAGCATAGAACAGATTACCCAAGAAAGGTGAAGGCTCGTTTGGAATTAGAGTTCAGAAGAGATGTCGGGACAACAGGAAGTGTTTCTACAAATATATCAGCAGCAGGAGGAAGACTAGAGAAAATGTTAGTCTGCTGCTGAATGGGGAGGGTGCCTTGATGACAGAGGATGCCAAGTAGACAGTTATTAAATGCCTTCTTTGCATCTGTCTTTACTGCTAAGGTTACTCCCCAAGAACTGCAGAGCTTTGATATGAGAGAGAGATAAATGGGAGAGAGGAAGATTTTCTGCTAGTCAAGGAGGATTAGATTAGAGATTATTTAGGCAAACTGAACACCCATAAATCCATGGACCCAGATGGGATTCACCTAAGAGTGCTGAGGGAATTGGCTCAGCCGATTCCCTCATGTTATTGCTTAGCCATGCTCCATCATCCTCGAGAGGTCATGGAGGGCAGGAGAGGTGCCGAAGGACTAGAAGAAACCAACATCACTCCAGTCTTCCAAAGGGCAAGAGGGAGGAGCCAGGAAACTACAGGCCAATCAGCCTCACCTCTGTCCCTGGAAAGCTCCAGAAGTGTGGGTTGGACAAGTGGACAGTGAGGTGGATTGAGAACTGGCTGGATGGCAGAGTGCAGAGGGTAGTCATAAATGGAGCTGAGTTTAGTTGAAGGCCTGTGGTGTCCCCAAGAGGTCAGTACTGGGCCTGGTGCTGTTCAACCTGTTCATCAGTGACCTGGAGGAGGGCACGGAGTGCACCCTGAGCAAGTTTGCAGATGACACCAAGCTGGGTGGAGTGGCCGACACTCCGGAAGGCTGTGCTGCCATCCAGAGGGATCTGGACAGGCTGAAGAGTTGCGCAGAGAGGAACCTCATGAGGCTCAATAAGGAGAACTGCAGGGTCCTGCACCTGGAGAGCAATAACCCCAGCAGACACCAGGACAGACTAGGGATTCACCTGCTGGAAAGCAGCTCTGTGGAAAGGGATTTGGGAGTCCTGGCTGACAGCACTGGCAGCAATGTGCCCTCATCGCCAAGAAGGCCAATGGGATCCTGGCTGCATCAGGAGGATGTTGCCAGCAGGTCAAGGGAGGGGATGCTGCCCCTCTCCTCAGCTCTGGTGAGGCTGCATCTGGAATACTGGGGGCAGTTCTGGGCTCCCCAGCACAAGAAGTATGTGGAGCTTTTAGAGAGGGTCCAGTGGAGAGCAACAAATATGGTTAAGGGACTGGAGAATTTTTTGTATGAGGAGAGACTGAGTTGGGCCTGTTTTCTGTGGAGAAGAGAAAGCTGAAAGGGGATCTGATCAACAGGTACAAATACCTGAGGGGAGAATGTAGGGAGGAAGGGGCCAAACTCTTCTCTGCCGTGGCCAATGACAGGGCAAGGGGTAATGGGTACAAGTTGAAACACAGGAAGTTCCATCTTCACATGAGGAAGAACGTCTTCACTGTGAGGGTGGCAGAGTCCTGGCACAGGCTGCCCAGAGAGGCTGTGGAGTCTCCTTCTCTGGAGATCTTCAAAACCCGCCTGGATGCCGCCCTGTGCCACATGCTCTGGGTTTCCCTGCTGGAGCAGAGGGGTGGGATTAGATGATCTCTAGAGGTCCCTTCCAACCTCAACCATTCTGTGATTCTGTGATCTTCTGTGGCATCTCAGTCTAAGAGGTGCACCTAAAATGGTACGCGGTCTCCTCAACTAACTTCACACTGTATCATGCAAAAGCATGCCAAAGATTTATCTTCACATCAGATGAGTATGTCCACAAAGACCATGAAGTGATGACTTTGCAGAAAATGAACGCAAAGGCTTTGTGATCTCCTGAGAATTGTTTCAATTCTGACATTCATTATTTGTATTAGATATACTTTTTTCGCCTGAATTCTGTGCCCTGGTCAATAAACAATTAGTATTTTATGACAAATTGCAGGAGGCAGCATTAACAGTGGTTTGTAGCTACATGCACACATGAGAGCCGAGAATAATTTTTATGACTCCAGTAGAAGTGCATGTAACAAACAGAAGTCAATTTTTATGACCATAATGATTGCAGCATCTCAATGTCTGTAGAAAATAGCTTTAGGCAAATCAGTTAATTAGTAGCAAAGTGCATTTGTTCACAGACTGTTCAGCTGTTGCATCTAATATTTGGAGACCCTTTCAAAAGAAAAGTTTAATATATTTTTTCAAAAGAAAAAATTAGTAGCTGCTCAAAATCTAAAATCAAAATTCCAGCTTAAAATAGTGTTTCACAAATTTCTAAGTCATTAATTTCAAAATATATAATACAAGGCTTCTTAAAAAGAGACTTTTAAACATGGAAGGTGATAAAAATGTTTGTGGCTCTTGCAGTGACACCAAGAGCTACCACTGACAATTTCAAACCTTCTGAATTTTAGTATTAACACTTATATTACCTCCAACTTACCCTTTCAGGATTGCATACAAAACAAACAAGCTAACACTCCTTACAGCAGTGTAATCATATTCTGCTCTTTATTATTTCACTTGCTAAATGTTTTCTTTCCCAAGACTCTCAAACTGATTTAATACCCTTCCTGCTTTAGCCTCTACCTTATGCACAGAAGTACAAGTCTTCTGCATCAATTTAAAGCCAAAGTGATGAATGGAATTTAATGATCTTTTTTGTACAGTTCTGTATAACACTAAACAATGGCCAATGCATTCATTCATGATCAGTTTTTTTGCCTTGTTTTTAATTAGCTTCCTATCTGGTGGGGTGGTGTGAAAAATTGCACCCCGCGCCTTACCACATCTTTCTTTTATAAAATGTATGTACAACAAATAAAAAGCACATTTTAACCTACCTGCTACCTATTACGTTAAATGTCATTATTACTAAAGACTGGCAGTTCAGCTAACAAACGCCCTCATTATTTTATTCCAGCTCTGCTTTGGGTATAGTCAATCAAATCATGCTTGATTTATGTCAGATGCTAACAAAATACAGTATAAATAGAGCCATTGAGTACAATTCAGTGATTCTGTGTTTATTCAGCTCTAAGCTATGAAGCTAAAGTGGATACCATTTATAACCAAGACATGCATTCTTCATGGCCATAAGAGTCAGCAGGCCATAGCTAGAGCACTTTTAAGGCTGGGAGAATATAAAGTGTTCCTATGAGCGGACTCAATTTTTTTTTTAAGTATACAAATTAATAACTTTATATAAAGATAGAAAACACTATCATGACTATAGATCATTTTTTCTTTTGATTAGGAAAGTTGTTTGATGGATTTAAAATAACCTAATTTGCAATGTAGGCCTCATTATTAATGGTCAGTGATTTTAGTACTTTCCAAAGGTGACTTTCTACAAGGAATGGCTTTTAGGCGTACGTCTATATTACATTTCCAGTCACACAGGTTATTTACAAAGATTTCTTTTTTTTTTCTGCTTTGCTTGAAGGTTTTGTACATCCAGGCTACTGACCTAGGGAAGCCCCGTTTGAATGTGGAAAATTACAGAAAGTCAGTTGTGCTCACTGAGTGATGGAAGAGCCATGAGAACCATTTGCAGCATGTCAGCTGGCAGCCTTTCCCCGACAGTTCAGCACACACAGCTCCTCTCCTCACTGCTCCTTACTTTCAGCAACTGTTTCTACACAACAGCTAAAAGCTGATATATATTATACAGGAAAGACTGAGGCGGACAATATTGCGGTGAGCAGTAAAACGCCAATTTTCCTAGCTAGAAAGTTATTTTAAACTCAGGTGTTCAGGTTTATGAAGCCTGTCCTGAAGTCAATAGTTTGCAAATGGTAGATATACACTGAAGAGATTGTAAGAAAAGTTTGTCTTATAAATGCTCCAAATCATGACTTTGGGTATATTTGGAGATGACTTTTTCTAATAAAACTTTAGTGGGAATAACTACTTAAAAAACAATTCCAGTAAGAATGTTTTTGTGTCATGCAGAATCCATATCTCTCTGGCGCTTGGTAACATCTTGCCCAGAATTATGTTGGAAAGGGTGGCCAATGCACAACCTCCGAGCAGACACTGCCAGTTTCAGGTCCTCAGCACATACAGTCAACCCTATGAAATGAGATATTTACCATGAATTCCTGACAGCAACAGCACATTATGAGAGAGACAGAACTGACTGACTTTACCACTTGATTCTTTATGTATCTTGACTGGGTGAGACAGAGAGCAAATTATTTGTTCTTCTGAACTTCTTGCAAAGAATGCAAATGGGTGTATATTACCCCTTCATCAGCTCCTTTCATTTCAAGCTATGTCTTTCCCCTTTGCTCAGACCAAAACCACCCATACTGCATGGACTGAAGCACATCTGATGTTTTGAAATGAACCTGCCCAACATCATTAGAAGAAATGTCTTTTGCCTCTGTCCAGGCAAACTTCCAAACAAACTGCAATAATAATATTATAGTTTCCATCTAAGCTTTTTTTTTTTTTTTTTTAAAAAAAAAGTGCAAATAATAAATTAGCAATCTCGACGGTGAAAATATAAATACAAATATATATTTATACACACACATACACACACACACAGAAAACAGGGCATGATTTGTCCACACAGTGCAGTAACAGTGGAAGATGTTGGGAACCAAGTTCCCTCCCTTGTGTTTCACTAGTGCACTGAAATGTTTCGTCCTACATAAAGGTCAGAGTCCAGAGTTTGTGGAAGCAATCGAACTTGCAGCGTCAGGGAACGTATTCGCAGGACGAAATCAGAAAGAAAACAGCAGAAAGCTGACTCTATAAATTCTACTCCATGACAGCATCTAAGTGGTATTGAAACCCTATGGAGGAGGATTAGTGAAGATTAGCAACCTTTGATTTGATAATATCAGATAGAAGAGAGCAAAGAAAACTTTTTTGGCTTATTTGAAGCAAAGACAACAAGTTTTTCCACATGAGAATCATTGAAAATGAGCAGGTGCCAGAGAGATGGGCTAGAAATTAAAATCGTGAGGTAAAAGATGGATTTTTTGTTTGTGCCTTTTCATTTCACCATAAGGGTGACCTGTTAAAATAGTGGCAAAACAACATTGAAATGATCCTAGGTCCCTGACAGACAAATCATGGTTCAACGTATTTTCTCTCAGTTACATCAGAAAGTATGAACTTGCAACCTTGGCCCCAGCTCTTTTAATGGCACACTGACAGGGCAAGAATAATTCACAGGTTGAGCTAATCAAAGGTGAAAAGGGAGAATCAGTAAATGTCGTATCCTTTTGCCACTTTCATCAATCCGACTAACTGAATTTGAGCTAAAGCTTGGCAAATTTTCTGCAAAGGGAAATTAATATGTAACACATCTGAGGCCTAGTGCTGGCCGGTAAAATTGGAAAGCCTGCGTTATATCAGAGGGCGATTATTGAGGGAGAGAGCGGCCAAAGCTGAGATAATCAGAAAGAAGCTTCTGGTGTCTCTCCTCTGATAGCACTGTGACCCTCCCAGCCCTGCACCTGAGGAGAAATCTCTCTACTTTTCAATTTTTCCCCATCAGGAATATATTCCATTGCCCATTTCTGTTGCCCACACATGATTGAATCAATTCAATTACCTTGGAAAAGTTGATACATATTCAGGCCATGAAGACGCTCAGGATAGAAAGAGAGGAAAAGAGACAAAGAAATCTGTATTTACCCAATAATAAGTTTCATTTGGAGAAGGTTTGAAAACAATTCTCCCTCGCATTTGTCCCTGTCAGATCACATTATTCACAAATGAAGTTTACAAAATATCAATTCAATTTCAATAAGGGAGCCTGAATCCCAACACACAAGGGCTGAATTTACCAAATCATAACACTTGAGGGGACCCTGGTGGCTTCCAAATATTTTCCAGTCAGAGGTAATCAAAAGCAGACGGCTGAATACTAATACATTCAATTTCACCCCTTTTGTTCGCATCTGTTCCCTTATAATACTATTTTCTACACTTCCAAATCACTGATGATGGCAGTTTGGAGAAAAAAAATAAGTGTGTGGGGGGAATCATAGCACTCAAACATTTTTGTGGAAATATTCTCAAATATGTACAAGAACCTGCTTTTTAATCAATTTACTGATGAGTAAACAGAGCTGTATCACAGAAAAAAAAAAACATGGTTCCCCAATAGCATTCCACTGTGTTTTCTAACTAGTCCTAGCACTAACGTTTATTAATAAGATGAGAAATATTGCTTCCTCATCAATCTATCCCCAGCCTCTCCCCAGTAAGGAGAAACAGAAGCAAGCACTTCATATAATCAACTATGCCACCTCAGAGTACTGGCATGTCTGCTTTATGTCCCCTATCTAAAAACAGCTAGTCTCTTTCACTCCAGAAGATACAATAATAATATTAAGTAGAAGTAAAGTTACTACACAAATACATCAATGAAGTCACAAATGACTAAGCAGAAAGCCCTCATTAGGGAACATCAAGAGTTATGACTATGTCAAAAATTGATAAGGACAAGGATGAGCAGGGGATTCCGATATTCCATAGCTAGAAAGGATGCCTGTAAGAACTACACTATTGTTTCTGATTACTTATGGGCCAGAGGGCTTAAAAAAAAAAAAAAAAAAGAGCTAAAAGCAGTATGTAGCCTTGAGACCAACCAGCCATGCTGACTCCATTCTCATTTCTCCAAGATTTATTCACTCATAGCTTGGACTTTGCATCTTACCTTACTGCTGAATTTCTAACACCTCAGTTCCTAGTCACTGGACTTCACTCAGCCCTCATCCAGAAGGCTGAAGAGTACCTGCTGTCAACAGTCTTCTAATGTTGTGTTCCTCTGGGACAAAAATAAACACAGTGATTAGAAAACCAGTCACAGAAGTATCCTCAATTGACACTACCTGGCTGTGTGCTGCACTGAAACCTCTGCCTGGTGAGGAAAGCCTTCCTATCCTGTTCAGCATAACATCAGACCTCATTATAACCCCATCAGCAACATCAGAGGACTTCCACTGAGACACTACACTCCTCTTGTATTCCTCTGTTACTGTTTCACCCAGAACAGAGTAGATCGTAGCTGTGTGTATGCACAAGTTATCATGGTACAGGAGCTACATGCAGTTTTCTGAAATCTAAGACCAGAGCTACCTGTAGATCTAAGTCAGAGTCTATAGGAAGATGAAGATGGCTATAAGAGTCATTGAAGCATTCCTCAACTGAAAGACAGAATATGAAATTCTGTCACATTCATTCATATGATCCAAACACACTGTTCCTGATTGCTGATCACACTGATGCATTCTTCCCACATGGAAGGTTTTCCTTAAACATAAGTTATAACTTAAAAATTGAGTGATAAAATGCTACCCGGGGGATGCCACCAGAAAAGGTTGCTTCCAAAACACAGTCAGCTGTTATTCTGTCCACATCTGAAAGTAATTCTGCAGAGAAAGGCAAAAGCAGTAAGATTGGTTCAGATCAAGAAGACAGTTCCCCGAGAATGTAACTGTATCTTCTGAAATAAAAGCTCTGATTATTTATATATGAAACCTGGTGACAAGTTCTCAATTTCATTTATTGTACAATGATATCAAGATAATATAGATGATCTCAGTGGCACAGGGATTGAGGAAAGCCTTACCCAGAGAAAGTAGTTGGCTGTGCCAACCATTATAGGCTGTAATTCTTAGAGCTGGTTTGGAAACCTGAAGAATCAGATATAGTAGCACAATAGATAATGGTATGATGAAGGAGGATACCACAGAGATAGTATTATCACTAGGGATTGCTCTATGAAGGCACATTCAGACATAATCACCACCATAAATAGCAGAAAACCATGTCTTCACAAGAGGATTTCACCCTAAGACCTGGAGACTGATATGCCAGGGTGCATTTCTTGAATCTGAGATGGCATCATCAAATAGTATGGAATGGCCATAACAGTTTGGGAATGAGAAACAGGGGAAGAAATAATAACCAATTAGCAAAGAAGTTTCTAAAGCAGTTGTTAGAAACCTCCCAAACAAGATGTTTTGCCTGTATTCAAACAAACACATTGTAAATTAATTCCATCACGCAGATGAACTCTGTGTTCCTTTCTTGTAGTTTGAAAAGTTGTTTCCTTTTTTTTTTTTTTTTTATTTTTGAGAAGGTTTGAGAAAAAATGAGATTGCTATTTCAAAGATGATCGATTAGGCCTTCTTGCTGCAATGAATAACTATCTATTAGGTCACATAATGACACAGGCCCGTGTGCATGGCTATCTGCATCTGTATGTATATGTGAGAACACCATAAATGCACCACACATAGTGATAAGTACAATAATTTACTCAAAAGACTTGAACACAAGTTTCATTTACAACTACAGCATGCCCCTGAAAAATACAGTGCAAATTGCTTAGCATGAAATTTTAATTTCAGTCCTATTCCAATACCAAACTCTTCAGAGTTCTTTCCCGATCTGACTTTTTCTGGCTCTACATGGAAAGCTATTCAGTATATTAGCACCATGCTGTTATAAAAATGGTTTTATTCTTTGTGAAATTATGCTAGGACAAAACCAAATAGCTCGAGTTAATTTAACATTCACACATTATTGTGAACTATCAACCAATACTTGCAAAAAAATTATATTAAAATGATGGTTAATCTAACAATTTACAAACCATACCCTTTTAAAAACATAGAAATTGTTGTTGTTAACTCTGTCAAGACCACCTGCTGTGCAGACACCTATTAAGGAATCCAAGCTTTTCTTAATGTATTAGAAGAATGAAAATATGTAATTGGAAAAGAAAGTGAAAACCCCCTACAAAAGGATTTGGCATGGACATATCCCTTAATGGATTACTGTTACCAGCTGCACCACATAAACTAACAACAGTTTCAAGTCTGCTTTTTTTTTTTTTTTTTTTCTAGTATATTAGAAGAAAATAAGCATTTAATGGTATTTTGAGAACATTTAAAAATGCCCATAACATCAGCTTTGGTTTTGCTGATGGTTTCACTTTCAAGCACTCAGAGCTGCCATGTTTGAAATGCTGATACTGCAAGGGGATTTTTTAAATGTAAAAATAGCTACTGTCACTGTAAATTGAAAGAGGAAAAAGCTCCTAAACCTCAGAATATCTTGATTTACTTCAAGGTTATATGTACTCCTTTGTACTAAGTCAAAATTTGGAAATATAAATTAAAGGTTGACTTTTGACCAAGGCAGATTTTAAAGCTAACAGCTTGAAGCTGAAGGAGAGAGACTGCTTTGCCTATATTTATCTTTTAACATTGTAACTTTTTTGCCTAATATTTCCTGAGTTTTAATTCAAAGACCTTTCTGCGAGCTAAGTTATATGTAGCCTGCAAGAAATCAAACAAGCTGAATAAGAAATAAAGATTTTGAATCATTTATTCACCTAAATCCCTTAAACTGACCTGACATTTGGAAGATGTTCAAATACAGGCAAAGAACTTACCACACTGATAGCCCTCAAGAAGGGAGTGCAGCTTCAAGCTCATTCTGGTCATCTGGTCATCAAGCTCATTCTGGTCCCCCTTTTAAAAGGGGGACCTTTTACCCGTGTTAATTCCATAAACTGAAAATCCTGATGCTTCAGAGCGGCCATCCATGCCTCTCTGCCTGATTCAGCCTATTGAGGTGGCCAAAAATAACCTTTTGTGGAATGGTTTTCTATATGAGAAAACTAACCTGTACCAAACTCATGAAGAAAAAAAATCCTTAGATATGGAACAGTCCAGAGTGATTTGAATGCATTTCATTTTAGAACAACATAAGAGACATATGTACCTGTCTGTATGTTAGAGAACCTGAATTTCAAGTAGGGCTTTGGCATAGTTTTGGATGTCACTCCATTATCAACTGAAAAACTTAAAAGTATTAAGACTGAATCAAGGCCATAAAGCATGCAAAGAATATAATAAACTTATATAGAATAAGTTTATAAGCATAATAAGTCATAAGCAACCTTTAAAACCTCTATTACTCAATGATCTCTTTATCTGTATTTTACATTGTCTTTAATGCTCAGACAAAAATCTTATGTATGCACGGGACTGAGTTCACATGAAGGGGGTTCCTGCTTTGTATGAAACCAGGAGCCTGCTGAAGCATCTCCAGGCCCTGTATCTATCCCTGTATCCCTGTATCTATCCCTGACACAGACTGCATCTACTTCACAGGTTGGTAAAGCGTTGGCCACATTTTGTGGGCAACATAAAATTAATGACAAACACATCAGACTCCAGAGCTGAAGGACTGTGTTACAGCTTGGAGCAATCAGCTATGCAGCACTTTCCTCTGCCTTTTCCTTCCTGTCACAACCACAGATAAAGCACTGGAAAGACATTTCAGGCCAAATATATTCAAATTTCTTATTGCATATCGCCCAGAAAGCCAGGCAGTCCCAGTGGAGGACCTCATGCTTAACAGTCATTCTGAGCTGCCTTTTTCTCTCTGTATAAGACTGCTGTATTTGCTCTGAAATCTTTATGTCCAAGGATAGTAACTGGCACTCTATTCCCTTGATATATTGATCTTAGGACCAAAGCATGCTGTAAAATGAGATGATCATAATGGGATTTAAAGTTATTACAGGCAAAGCTGTGGTAACATATAGTAAGTTCCTGGCAGTTTCATTTACCAGTGAAAAATCACACAGCTACAGTAGATACACTGTTAAAAAAGAAAAAAAAAAAAAATCTTCAAGGCCTGGCACCTATATTTTGCAGTTAGCTTTACAAAATTATTTTAAGTGAACTTTTATGGAAGGGGGGAAGACATAACAGGATGTTCTATTAATGGAACAGGAGCTTCACCACAGACATAGTGAATTAAAAAATATATAATAAATGTCACTAAAAATAAAAGGGCCTTACTCTCCTTTATACTATTGCTATTTTAGATGACACTGGCAATATAAGACAACCTCCTCCCCCTGCTCAGAAATAAAATGAGTATAAATAAAGCCCCCTTTAAACTACAACCACTGTAAGATGAGCTTAGTATAAATGAAAACTGAACCCAAATAATATTTTAGTGATTTAGGGGAAATTTTTCTTCTCCTCCTTCCAAGGAAGCAATGCATATCAAAATGCAGTAGAGCATTAAACTATATATCAGCAACATGCAGGGAAAGCTACAGGCCAGTGTAGCATCCACATCCTTGCTGAGACCCAGCGTGGATTCCATTCTCCTTCTTCCCTCACCAAGCCCCTTTCCCAGCAGATTTCTGATTCTGCTCCACATCTAAGCTTGCTGAAATGATAATGCCAAACCATTCTGTATACAACTCTTGGTAATGTATGTTGCCATATTTTTACACTTCTTTAGCTTGGCAGTTGTTAAGTGCTTTACTCAGACACTCATAAATTAAATATTATACCTCCTCTTCCAATAGTTTACAAAGCAGGCCCTTCTCTAACAGCTGAGTATTGGGAAGGCACCAAACACAATGATAACCTGTCAGCACTTGTGTAGACAGTCACAGGAAGGATCCTTCATCTGAAGTGATGGAATAAACTTGCATCCACCCAGCCCTTTCACTCATCCCATACTTATCTTTTACTTTCAAATCTTGGAAGACCTTCAAAGTCTGAGAGACCATCTATGCCCCAAAAATGCAACAGAAGGAGGTCTCCAGAAGAAATGGAAAGAAGCTCAAAGAACACAACAACAATGACATCTAGACCCATCAAGAAAGGTCTAGGTGCAGCAGACACATTCTTCCTTTAGGACTATACAAGCGCTCATACGCTCTAGCTATGAGTAGTCTTGCCTTAAACTTTAATTCTGAAATTGCTC